CAACCGCAGTCATGCTCCACGTTCTATTCAGGAAGATTTGGGGGAGGGTAAAGTGCCGACAGACTAAAGAGAAGGACACCTCATCATGATACAAAAGAAAGATCTGGGCAAATGTGAGAGCCACAGAGGCATCACACTACTATCGGTACCAGGAAGCGTTTCCAACGGTGATGTTGAACCGCATGAAGGATTCAGTAGACGCCCGGCTTCGAGATCAGTAGCTTGAATTCCGTAAGGATCGTTCGAGAACAGACCAAATCGCGACACCACGGATCATTGTTGAACAACTAGTTTAGTAGTATTTGTCCCTACATGTCAGTTTTCCTGATTATTGGTAGGTAGTTCACAGTGTCGACAAGTGTACCTTATGGAAGCTTCTTCAAAGATATGATTTACCTGAGAGGATCGTCACCACCATACAGAATTGCGAAGAAGGACTACACTGCAAATTAGCGAGTGGAGGACAACTAAAAGATGAATTCGAGGTGAAGACCAGTGTCAGACACGGCTGTTCACTCTCTCTCTTTCTCTTTCTTCTGGTAGTCGACTGGATTATGAAGACTTCCTAATCTACAGGGAAGCACGAAATACAATGGACAACTTGGGAGCGGCTAATAAATTAGAACTTTGTAGATCCCCTAGCACTTTTATCTCATATACACCAATAAATGCAGGTGAAGACAGACAATGTAGCAACATCCTATGCATCAGTAGGCCTCCACACGCGCGAGAAGAAAACCAAAGTCTTCAAACACAAAACGAAAAACACCGACCCAATCACACTTGATCGAGGAGCCTTAAGAGAGTTAGGACGTTTTACGTACGCAGGCGGTATCACTGATAGGCAGGGAGGATCTGATGCATATGTGAAGACACATGTTTACAAAGAAAGGTCTGCATTCTTAGTAGTGAAGAACGTATGGGACTCAAAAGAACCGTCAGCCAACACCAGCCAGAATATTAATACGAACGGTAAGACAGACCTGGTGCACGGGGCAGACACATGGCGAACTACAACAACCATCATCAAAAAATGAACAGGTATTTATAAATAGTTGTTTACTGAGGATACTCCAGATGTGTTGTTGGCAGAACATTATTAGCAATAAATTATTTCAGTAGAAAACAGATTTTCGAACGAATAAAAAATTAAAGAGAGATGCTGAAAGTGGATAGGAAATACTCCTCAACAAGGGGTTATACAAGTATGTAAGTAGGATCGTGTATAATTAACTAACGAAACTGTGGACAACAGATACGTTTAAAACTGATGACGTAAGAGAGACTAGTGACAGAAAATGGGTATGTGAGAGAGTATGTGTACCAGGCGTGAAGTATTCACTACGTCGTTTAACATGTACAACAAATTTTCTCGTGATGAACTTAACAACTGTTTGTGGTTAGTAACAATCGTCAATAACCTATTAAAAATTACTGTAGACATCTAGTCAGATAGCAACTAATTCCTATTAATTTCAGGCGTAAACAAAAAAATGTGATCACTAAGTCGAAAGTCTCATAAAAGTCTAAAAGTCTATGTAACCACATACATCACTGAATATCAAGGTATTTCATTCAGTAATGGGTTTCTGCTGCACGATATACGTGCTAGAGACTCATATTAGAATCTAAACGAGACAGGATCTATTTTCAAATAATGTCGAGATGAACTGTCTGTAACCAATAAAATACACCCATTTGGTGACAGTGTTTATCAGGAAATCGCAAGCCGTGATTCAATAATGAACGAATAGTGACATATGAGTGTGGTTTTCATTTTTCTCTAACCTTATTCACTATCGTTCCGTATTTTTTGTCAGGTAGAAACGTGTCCTTGATCTGTCTTGCATTTTACATTTGAGAGATAACTCACATAACTTATTACTCGATGTCAATATTGACCCATCGAATATGTCTGTGGAAGTGAATAAACCCCGAAATTAAAAATTATGTAAGTCTTCGGAACTGATGCTAACCGCATTAGTTTTACTGAATACGTCTTTGATGAAAGCGTTTGTCCACGCATCCGCACCAGATCACGAGTGGATATGGCGTTCTACGCCTCCCTTGTAACTACTAGCCAGTCTAGACCAAACGCTTCTTGACATATCAATAACTTTCCAAATACATTTTCAAACCTCTTCATTTCTGACTTCTGATTTAACTGGGTTTGTATAATTTGTTTACAAAGATGTTGCATTTGAAGGTGCTGTCAAACTCCGAATACCTGTGACATCTTTAAGCTTAAGCGAACACAACGATTTATTGCAAAATCCTTTAAAGATGTTGCTAGTCATCAGTCTGTGACAACCCTGCTGTCCTTAACACCCTTAGGAAAGAGGATTCAAACGCATGTCAAACCAGAAAATTGGAATGATTGGGTCCGAAGATATATTTGTGAGGCAACTGATGTTTCTGCAAGTAAGTGCTCTAAGTTGGCTCGTCGTTACGAGCAATATGTTGTAGTGTCGGTTATTATGCTAATCCCGTATACCTTATTCTAACTTTCAGATAGGCCAATCTTTTCAGTCTTCTTGAGTTATATTTTGACCTTATTAATTATTCGCTTATGAACCTTAACTGTTTTTATATGAGTACGTTATAGGTGTACGCTTTTTATTCTTTTCATCACATATCTGTAACTTAGTTCACTGTGATTATAAATATTGATTACCGCTTGACTAAAGCGGAGTTGGGTTATCCTCCACCTCCACTGTACGTCATTTTGCTTCGCTCGATTCCATTCGCTTCATATGCAAAATATGTGTATTCATAAGTCCATCACACTTATTTAAATCCGTTATTGACCAACGCGATTTAAGCTGATGATTATACACGAGGATATGCGACATACATATTTCAATACCAATCACTCATACGACCAAACTGGAGTCAGATCCCGGGCCACTAAAATGTAACGCGACATACCCAGTCGTGATCTGGCGCGTACAGTCGACCTGATGTTTTTGCCTAGAGTATGTCCATCAAAATTGGTGAAGTCCGATTCAAGTCAAGGACTTCTAGAACTATTCGTTTTTGTGATTTATTTACCGCCACACCGTGTTACTTTTATGTTCGTAGATTTTGAAGCTTTATGGGATCAAAGAACTCATTCAGATGGCTCAAATAGTTCGAGTAATTTTGAACAGAATATAGGAAGCTCCTGTTGTGGAAGATCATTAATACGAATCAAGGAAATGAGAGGCTTTAGTACTGAACCCTCACTAGGACATTCCACAGCCTGAGAGTAAGTGAATTTAACCCTGACCTTAAAATGTCTGTTTTTTTAGATATGAAGTGAGCCAGTCAATTAAAGGTGATTAGATACCGAATCGTTTGAGCTTATTTATAAGACATATATGTTTGACCCTACTAAAAGCCTTTGAGAAGTTGAGGTATTTTACATCAACCTTCCCCTTTCTATCAAGGATAACTGTCCATCTGTCCAGCGTGGTCAGTAGGTTGATTTTATAACAGTGACCTTTTCTGAAACCGTGCTGTTGGAGTGAAAAGAAGTTTACAGGTAGTAAGTAGTCACGTAGAACGTCGCACATCAGTGACTCCATAAGTTTTGAGGATATTGAGAGAAGTGCTGCCGACATGTAGCTTGAAGGTTCGCTGCGTCGACCTCCTTTGAAAATAAGTGTAATGTGACCTGGCTTCCAGTTTTCTAGTAACGTGCCTCAGCCTAGCGAATGTAAGAACATCACGCTAAGCAGTGTTGCCGATTCTGAAGCTGCCTCCTTCAGTATAACAGAATGGATCACATCCGGATCAGGTGTCGTTTTTAGATGCTGCAGTTTCCGGTACACTAAATCCTGTGGAGTTTCAGATGAAACTTTCATCAATAGAGTTAGTGAGGGTCGGTTCGAATGTCCGGGAGTACTGTCCAGCCAGGAGATTAGCGGCATCACCTTCGCTGTTGGTTGGGCCTTCAGGACTTAGTAGTTGCGAAACTCCAGTTTTGGCTTGTCGAAGAGAGGCTTCATAACGGAATAAGCCTCTTAGATTGGAAACAAATTTATCGATAAGCTTCATTCGGTACTGAAGTCTTCTTCCTCCTATTGCCTTTTTGCATATGTTTCTTATTTGTTTGTATTGCCTGTATGTGTCAGCTCGTTTTTATTCCGCCTAGTAGTGCCTTTTCCGGCTTAGCAAACGAAGAGTGCAGATCTTGGTGACTGTAGGTTGCTTGTAGATTTTGGGTACCACCTGAAGAACAGACTGACTCCTAGCACACAAAATCGTGTGCAGTAAAAAATCTCAATAAGCGTTCAGATCAAGTTGAGGGTGAACTTCCCGATTCACCTGCTGTAGACACATCCAACTGTTCAAAATTCCAGCGCCTGTTGTTGGTGTATTGTCTTAGCTCGGTTTCTCTGATAAAACTAAAGGCTGTGGCGGCGTGGTCGCTTTCCTCTAGGAGAGCGAGGATTGAGAGGCTGTCAACCAGGAATTCTTCGTTTGTAAGTACCCAGTCTGAGCGCAACGGCGTAACTATTACTTGCAAAATTATTATGCTATCAATGCAATTTATGCTTTGACGCTTGCAATTTGTAAACGAACCTTGAAAAACAATTAACTACCAGTTTCTCTCTATCAAATTCGAAGCAAAAAAAACGAAATAAAGGACATTGAAAGCGGTTAAGTTGAATGCCCCCGGTTTGGCCTTGAAGCGGATGTTGGAAAGGCATAATTTTATCTTTGATAATAGCTTCTGCTTCATCTTTTACATGCCGGGATGGATGAGCTCTCTATGTATTTTTCAGCCGGTAATGAAACATCGAAGTCCAAGTTGAATGAAAAGTCAGCAAATCATTCACAAGGCCAACTAATTTTCGTATGACTCACAACAACGCAAAAGCTTCAGAGGTTGTATCAAGAAGAATAAAACTATAGATAACAGCTCAGATAATGCCCACAACCCGTTCCTTAGCCTAAACTCTACTCCCAATAATCCCATATGTGGTAGCTACAGCTGTGGAAATATCTCTACAAAAATGCCACATATTCTTCCTCCCGAAATAGAAGAGGGAAATATTGAGTACAAAGTAAGCAACCTATTTTTATTTGTTGTCCTGTCAACATACTCAGTATGTAAGGAAGTGGTATATGATTAACTGTTCCCGTGTATATGATACAATTAGGCCTCCAAGTGGTTTTAGACAGTATTGTATAAGTGATAAGCCTGAACTATAGTGTCGAAAAATTTTCAGGTGTTAACTGTTTTGGCCAAAGAAAAGGGAGTGATAATTGAATGCCTTGTTATGTCATGGGTCAGTATTCGGATGTTTTTAGGATTTCTGAATTGTAAGCAATGTTAGTTCATGACTACAAAACCCAAACCCTACCACACAATCCTAACTACTGGCACTGATTTTCAATCCGATTTTGATATTTGCACCCTAACTTCTCTCAGTCTTTATTGATTCGTCAGTATAACTTGACTGAATAAGCTTTGGCTTGACAAGTTCCGCGTCTACTAGGTGTAAATCACTGATGTCTGTAAGTGTGGAATTACGTATATAAAGAAAAAACAAAATTGGATACGAATCGACCTGCTGCTCTGAAATTTCAGCGTTCGAACATTTATTTCAAAGTTGGTATGCAAAAATAATATGTTTGAACTATTTCCTAATAAAGGAACCTGAAATGAAGAATTACCCAGGCTGTATACGAGGTTTGCATCGTTTTGCGGATGAACTAGTCCCGCTTTTCAAAGCGTCGGTCTACATGCTTACGTTGGAATTTACAGCCTCGATAAGTGTTGACTTTGAAGGGTTTTTCGACTTGTTTTTGCTAAATGAAAACAATGGGAATAGACTGACTTTCCAAGCATTTCGTTTGAGGCTCCTACCAAGTATTATTTTACACAATGGATTAATAGTTATTTCACGTCATTTGACCACATTGGTCGACTGATTCCTTGACTAGTCCTTCCTCAGATACATACTTGACATTTCTGTATTCAACCTGCACGCGAAGTATTTCTATTGCGATTTCCGTATGTCCAGTGAGACGGATAGACGTTTCCTTATGAGGTGAGAGCTAACCATTGATCCGTTTGAGTGATGACTAACAGTGGGTTTTTAGCATTTATCACATCTCTACTGATCTATTTTTGTCTAGCCATTAAATATCATAATCTGATCAGGTACTTTGTGACCATGTAAATCTGTGTCTGTATTTTATTATTATTTATTTAAACACATAAATATTGGTACAAGAGGGCACCAAATATGTATGCGCCACACCATATTTGTGTGTGTGGGCTGTGATACTGCCCGGGTGCCCAGACCGAAGCAGGTGTTTTTCTTAGGGGGCCACACCCCGAGCCTCTGACCTAAAGGTCTGATTCACAGGGCAGTGGAGCATCGTAAGGAGATGCAGTTCCATGGTATCCGGTGACCAACAATTGGTTTATACGCCATTTGTTCCCTCAGTATACTGAAGCCCATGTGCACCATTGGTTTGGGATCCGGTTAAAGCGCCGGAAATTCGCTTTTCGTCCTCTGATTTTCGTAAACAACACCCCCACCACGAGAAGGTAGTGAGTATGGCTTCCCCGGCAGAGGCTGTATACGCGTGGCCGTGTGAGAGCATTTCGAGAGGGAGGGAGGGCCCACCTCACTCTCGGCCATACCAGGGCATTTGGGGCATATGACTCTTAGACATTGCGAGTAAAAAATTAATCATAAATTAACTCACTCACCAGGTACTTGAGTGTGAACGACATTCCATGTGTCAGGGTTAACGATACTACTTAGTTACCTGAATCGAGATAGTTGGAGCGGTGTTCGAATCTCGGATTTACTGGCTTCAAGTTGAACCGCCTAACCATAAGACCACCACTGCATCTTTTATGGTCTCTCTGCATAAGAAATTTCTAAAGTATTCGTTTCCAAAATACTTTTGTATTCGACGTATCTTCTGTCACCACCAACGAGTTCATCCGGAAGAAAATATGCGAGTTTAACGAGGTTCTGTATTTTTCACTCATCCTTATTCGCTGGAATCAATTAATGGCTAAAAAAGCTTACCTCTGTTCATCATTAGGTCAGTGTGACATGTCACTATATATGCTTAAAGCAAACGTTTTCTCGAAATAAATTTTTGTATGTACATATTTGCTGCAGTCAGTCATCGTTACCTGTCCGTTAAGCTGGAGCACCAAAACCTCTGTCGATCTGACTTACCCTATCTACATTAAAACTACTCACTGTAGTAGCAATAAATGACAAACAGTTCTATTCCAGGAGGCTAAAAGAAGTATAAAAAACTAGTTGTTTGATAGTCGTGTTTATACTAATAAGGTACGACTCCACTAATCTGCAATTAAGTGAAAGTCATTTGTAGTCAGTTATTTAAATCATAAATGCTTTTTTACACCCTTCTATCTCTGTTTTCGCTAACTTTTCCTTACACCAATTGTAACCGATTTTTTTTATGTAGCGGAAATTAGTTGATCCTACACCAAATCGTTTTGAACAGCTTGTTACTCAAATGAAATGGCGTCTTAATGAAGGTGGAGGCAAAGCCATTTATAAATTAGGTGTAGATGACGATGGTCATGTCAGTGGACTTCGTCCATCTGAATTAATCAGTTCGTTAACAACACTTGAACGAATGGCAAAGCGTCTAAACTCCACTCTTCATCCTCTCAGAGAGCGTGTTATTGAACCGACAACTATTTCTTCGGATAAAGAATGTCGTAAAGCTATTGAAGTGCTTGTTCGTCTAGCGCCAACAACCAATGAAGGTGTAAGTCGAATGTTATATTCAGTACTATTGTATCAATTTTTTTCCTGTAATGTAACTCACTGAGTACATATCCGTGTACTCGGCTTTGGACTACACTAGGTGTGTGAGCTAATAAAATCCTAACTGGTTGCCTAAACCAAAGTAGGTAGGACAGTATTCAAACCTTTGACTAATGGTCGAAAATAGAGCGCTGTAGCTACCAGGCCATCTGTTATTATTTTTTTGCAAAGTCTAATAAATCCATACTAACTCTAATTTGAAAATAATTATCGCCACAAATTGATATCAACTGAAGCAAATCAGAGTATTAGACAGCGCCTGCACTCTAAAACATTTTATTTTTCCACTATTTATGGTGTTTTTTATCAGTCTCACATTTTATTTCCACTGTTATCCCTCTATTACTGTTGATGTAATTATATTTACTGTCCTCTTTTTGCTCAATACATCAATTTCAAGATTGCCTATTTGGGGTAATACTCATTTTTACAAACCTATCATAGCTTTTTTCTTTAAATGAGAACTAAGAGACGGTTCTTCTTAGTAAGTTCAATAAAAGGCGTCTACAGTCCCACGTCCAAGCTACCACACTTCGTAACAGCATCAGGACGAAATTATCAAGGTAAACAACCGAGAAAATATTGATTGAAATAGAAAATGACATACGTCAACTCTAGTTCAAAAGGAATAAGCAGGAATGGAAATTATGGGATGACTTCAAGCTTAAGATTTATAGAAGAATTAGTGGTGAATGCAGCTGCTACTCCGTAATCTACCCTCCCTTTATCAACCATAAATTATAGTTACCTTACGGTTCCCATCTTGGGAGTCTATATCTTCCAATATGGTTCAGCTCAACGGTCTGTAGTTTCATGTAATAATTCCATGCTTTAGTTTGCTTGTCTCTAGCTTTATCCTAACCAACAGTACACGTTCTAGTAGGTGATAACTAAACTGCCTGGTTGAAAGAAATAACACAAACCAACATCTTTGATCCTCTTCCTCATCTACGGCAATTTGAACTAGTTTAAACTATCTGCCGTTTTACACCTCAAATTCTTCATTATTCTTATCTGGTGTGGTAGTTAAAGCAATTAACTTTTAATCAACAGGTCTCAGGTTCAAATCCTATTCCTTGTACGTTAGTTTACTCTGCTAGAAGGGGACTTTTTTACGGTCTGCCACAAAATCAAGTACATAAACTTGTTACTTGGTAAAGAGATTGCATTATTGTGTATGATTATCACACTAAATGTTTCTGTAAATTTGCTTATGTAACTAGTGAATATCGTTTACTTCCCTATTATTTAAATATTAATAACAATAATAATCATTAAACATATGATTTGTGTGATATGGTGTAACAGCTGATAAAACTACTAATCCAATTGATAATGATTAACATATATTAATTTATGAAAATATTAGGGGAATAGTAGAATGATTATTCTTTCTCTATTTGTGTTAGAAATTATTATTTTAGATCCTGGTAATTGTTTCTGTAATAATAATAATAACAGTCAAATGACAACCGGCCATGATCGCAACGTGATTTAACTTACCTGTTACTTTAATCCATTCTATCTAAAGTCTTTATTCCCTAAGATTATATTACTATCGAAAGGTTTATTGATTAGAGAATATCACTAACTTCAATTCAGATCCATTCATTCTTTGTCTTTCCTGAACTTAGAAAGTATTTTAAATCTTATATTCTATGAATTTTCTTTATTCACCGTGATGCATCTTTTTGTCTGTCTAATTTTTTTAACCATTATTGATATTACTACTACTACTACCGTATTTATTTTGATATTTTCATCTCGTGTTAATATGGTGTGCCAACGTGAACTTATGCACGTATATGCTAGATTCTACGTTGTGTGTTGATTGATTGGTTTCCGAGAGATGTTTTACTAACGTCTAATGTTGATGTAATGAACATAATATGGTTTTCCTAACCAGTCTGTTTCCTTACTGATTTTTTCGGTGAGGCTATAATTCATGGAAAACCTTTAAGCAACGCTAAAATAACCTTGGAAATGTCCACCCACTAACTAGGACTAAATGATGGTTATAAAGCAGTGTGAGGAATTGTAATTATGATTTACAGTTGATGGTTAGGGTTAGGAATTAGATTTAGGATTTTCATCACGAACTGACATCAGCTATAACGACGAAATAGTATTTAGCCAAATAAGTATGAATTTTGTGCTAAAATCCGTGACCTCTTATCTTAAATCTGATTGATTCGTCCAAAAATTATAGTCTCGCCATTTTTTCTTCTGATTGTCGTAACATTATGATGTCTCAGTAGTATTAGCAATGTGTTCTTCAGTACAAATCTAACTATTAAGAAGATACAACCAGCCTCAATTAATTATTGGCCCAACCATCAGACTCATACTAAGTAATACTACTATTTTTCAGGTACGTGAAGAAAGTGTTAATTTTCATGTTATCTGTATCTTACCAATCCCTATCTCCTGTATCATATCAATTTCTCTTAATCATGATGAGTATTCGTGATGTATACGAATACTTTTTTGTTGTATGATGTTAGTTGTATGTTCCGATTACTGCCTATATTTTAACTACCTCTATCACTACGGGATTTGAATCGACAATTGTATCTATGTGCCAATGTGGTATGACAACTTGAACTGATGTACGTACGTATGAAGTTCTACGTTGTTGCTGACTGACTGGTTGACTACAAGCATAGATCCTTGAGCGACTGATATTAAGCTGACACAGACTGGGTAATTAGATCGTTTGTAATTTAAATTTAACTGACTTTCAATTCATAAAAATAAACTGTATGATCGGAAATATTATTATTGCTTAACCTTCATTAATTGCCTGCTGGAGATAACCGTCCCACACTCGACATGGTCAAACTGCACTGGTCACGACTTATCACTAGAACTCCAGAAATGGCAACAGTTCGTGAATGAAACTGCAAAGACTTTACAATTTCTACAAATTCCCTCAATTCTAATAATTTTTAAATGGCCAAAATCTTTTAATGAGTGGAAAATAGATTCATTATTTGCGGTTTAAACTCATTAACTATCTTTGTTGCAAATTGATGGATTCAATAGAGTTTTACGTAACCCATTTACCAAGTACTAGGATTTGAGTCACATTTATTTTTATGTGATTATGTTTAGAATTTAACTATGCCGATAATTGTAGTACCGAGTCCACTCACTCGAATAAGATAATTGACTCATTCGATAGTTCAATGGTTCCCGATTCACTTCACCAACACATCAAAACACTTAACCATGAGAAGACAAGACTTCCAAGATTGCCTTTATTTCTCAGGATAACAGTGAAACTAATAGGCATCACAGTATATATTATTTCATATTATCAATGAAGTTTTGTATTGCCCGGGTGTTCATATTTAGAACTGAATTCTGATCAGTCCTCGGTATATGACCATCTTGAGATGATTGCCACTATGTAGTTATTTTGTGAAAAATTTTAAATCGTATAGATTGTGACTAGCAGTGAAATCCGAGACATGTTATATCCTATTTTGGCACTTGTTAGTAATATTTAATTATATTCTCGGTTCTGATATCCACATCGACTCGAACCCAGTACACATTTCTTCAAACACTAATGAGTTATTTAAAATATGTATCGTTTTTACGCCCCATAATAATATTAATAAATATGAATCAAATGATATTGGTACATTACATAGGTTATATTACTATTTTATTTATTTATTTATTTGAACACATAAGCATTGGTACAACATGGCACCAGATACATTTGCGCCACACAAATCTCATTTGATTTTTGTGAGGGCTGTGATACTACCTGGGTGCTCAAACTGAAGCAGTTAGTTTTCTTAGGGAGTCACACTTTGAGCCTTCGATCTGAAGGTCTGATCCACAAGGCAGTGGAGCTTCGTAAGGAGATGCAGTCCCATGGTAGCCAGTGACCAACGATTGATTCATGCGCCATTTGTTCCTTCAAGATACTGGAGCCCATGTACACTATTGGTTTGGAATCAGGGTTTTCCAACTAACTCCCCTAGATAGGTCCTTCATATCCACGAACCCAGTTAAAGCGTCAGGCATTCACTTTTCATCCTCTCAATTTCGTAAACAACACCGCCACGAGAAGGCGGTGAATAGGACTTCCCTGGCAGAGGCTATATACGCGTGGCCATGTGAGGGCATTTCGAGAGAGAGAGAGAGAGAGCTGAGTCTACCCACTCTCGGCCGTACCAGGGCATTTGGGGGCAGGTTATATTACTATCGACATCTGGATGACTACCGATTGCGTAACACTATTGACTTAATCCTAATAGAGTAATACACGGTCACCTAAACAAGAGTATCTGTAACGATGTTCGAATTTACATTCATTCTTGCCTAAAATTCAAATACTCTAATTGAAAGATCTTCACTTCATTAATTGATAAATGATAATTAAAGTTATTTTATTCTTAAATGATTATCAACCTGTAAATAAGGTACTTTATAATCACTAATCAGTTAGTTATTGCATATAACACCTTGAAAGAAAGAAACTTCGGTGATTCACATTAAATGATCACATTTTTTTCGACCAAACATTGAAATAAAAGTAACATTTCTAGTAGAATTCGTGTGTTACGTATGATACACAATTATTATTATTATTATTTATAAATGCCATATAAATAAGAAAACTCGTGATTTCGAATAAAACTTTCAATCACCTATGTAATTATTGCCTTGATTTATTGAATCCAGTAGTGTAAACAAATCCCCTCAATACACAGATATCAATGTGTGATACTTTTTTCTTCTCTGTGTTGCCAAAGACATCGCTATTATTATTGTTCTATGATTATTGTTATTACTATTATATTTCCATAAGAACGTCAAAGTTTTTTTACTATTACTCTCAGTTATGTATAAAGTATTTATTATTCGGGAGTACGTGGACTGCACATCTTCACAACATGTGTACATCTGCTGGTTGCTATTTAGATGTGGTGATCGGGCTTGTCTATCGTGATGATTCAAGCGAGCTATATTGGCTGGAACACATGTTCCTTTACGTCCTACCATGTCAGGTAGCGCAGCTGGCGGACGACGAGACGAAAAGCAGTAACTTAAGGTCCGAGGATGAGGCTATACTGCTGACTATACAGGAGTTTGGCAGTAGTAAGGTGTTTCTCTCAGACAACCAGCATCTACTTACCTTGAAATTCTCATTAGTCCTGATAGTCTGGTGTCTGACGAAGTCTCGGCGCAGATTCAGAAGACCTGACTGGCTTTCGCCAATTTACGTCACTTATGTTGTAGGCGAGATATACCTTTTCTAACCAAAGGGCGAGTTTGTTGCGTAATAGTTTGCTCCGTTCTACTTCATGGATGTGAAACATGTCCATTAAGAGTAGATAATATTCTTAGGTTACTGGTATTCCATTATATGTGTCTACAAAACATCGCTCGTGTATTTCGGGACTGTGGAGTAAGCAATGTCTAAGTTAGAGATAGAGTACTAAGCAAAGATGGTAAATCGAGTGATGAGGTGATAAATCTTCAACTGAGGTGGTTGGAACATGTATTACGAATGTTCATTCACCATCTACCTTGACGGGCAATGTGTGGTTCTTTTCATTTAATAATTATCGTTATAGTCTTTATCTTATTTTTCACCACACTTTATGTATATTGTGTTTTCAGTGAGCAAATGTGGAGTATTTGAAAAATAATGAATACAATCAATTTGATTGGTTCTGCGTTTCTTGTTCTTTATTAATATTCATGTGTTGACCACCTTGATAGAACGCTTTTTACACTGAAAGGAACTTCTCGAAATATTGGTTCCACGAATTGTTAAGTCAATTAATTTATAAGTGATACTCATACCTTAAGAAGTAATAACTATATCTGTTTATACAAACCTTAGAAAATGACATCTGTAGTCTATCGTTTAAGTGCTTACACTAATATAATGCCCTTCAAAATCGACTCGGCAGTTCTCTTAACCAAATAGTTAGAGACTAAGTAACATAGCTCTGAATTATTCTCTACGGCACAGGTGCATTTACTCTTTGTCTTCTCTTAGCTCTCAATCTTCTTAATTATCTTTAAGTTTTTTTCATACCGTGGATCTGTATTCTCTTCTCGAATCATATATTCTATCCCCAATCTTTTCTACTTCTACTTATAATGTTACTACTTATTTTACCCTGGAATTTCACAGAACTGATGTAATGTGGCAACTTGAATCCTTCGGGTTTTATGTTGCATATGACTGATTACATTTATATGCCATAGATCGTATACATTACAGCTGGAATTTTAGATTGGTCACTTTAAGTAGCAGTATATCTCTTTAAGTTAACGGGCTTAATATAAATTTACTCAATGTTTACTTTGTTTTAATAAGAATAACCGCCTTGTTCAAACATCCTTCATCACACCCTCATATCATCTTTAGAAACTACAATTACTGCTTGCCTTATTGAATTGATCGACTATTGTTTCAGCATATGATGTCGCTGGTTTACTGTTCGGCTCTATTAAAATCATGACACGGATAGAAAAGCCTATTAAAGTTTTATTTTTCAACGTACAATAACCATGATAGACAAGTTATATATAGCTGTATAACTATGTCATATTCAGTTTGAACAGCTATTAATAGAGCATACTATAGATTGACATTTTTGAGAATAAAATGCAACAATCATACAAGATTTTAGAATGCTAGATTATTAAGTTTGTTGTTCAGTTTGATATAAGGTTCGAATATTAAAAGCTCCAACAAGTAGTTTGGAGCGCAATTTCAGAAGACTTGGAATCGCACTTCGTGAACTGGAATCCATAGTATGTGAGGAAAAAAGATAAAGCGATGGGAGAAGGGTTGGTAAAAGGAATTGAGATGGAAATACGATTATGAACAACGTGATTTTCAGTCCTGATAGAAGTGTATGAGCGGTTGTCATTTCCCGGTTGTCCACACCATAAAAAGATACTTCTTTGTGAGATACCTGAAAATAAAACTGTATTGAGGGTAGTTTTGACCAAATGGGAGTTCTAACATAGACCCCAAAGGACAAATACTTTAGACCGGTTACATATGGCCATGTTTTTAACTCCTTACTTTCAAGGCCTTACGTCCGATGAAGGAAATCCATGGGCCAAGCTAAGATACATTTACGGTCGACTTTTCCATTTTGAGGAGGTAATATCTTTGAAAATAGTGTTATTCTGAGGGGAACCTCTCACTCCCTTTACATTCACGTGCATGTGAAAGTACGACTTTACCCTCGAACCTTAAGTTTACTGCTTTTAGTCTTACTTCTCCGCAACAGACCTACTTAGTATAGTAATACCTAAATGGAACAAGTATCTCTTTCACTGGAACTCAGCTGAATCATCGTAATATTCGGCCAGACCACCATGCCAAAATAGCAGATACAGTTGTTTTATATAGTTTTTAGGATGAAATAGTCGAGAGAAAAAAACATCTTTTCAACTAGTCATTCTCTGCTAACAAAAAAATGTAAACATATTTTCAGAATGGTTATCATAAATAATTTCTTTTATTAACATTAATCTTAGTAACTATGTTGTGATTCTCATTGTTGTGTTTCTTTTGTTTTCATTATTATTATTTAAATTATTTAGTCACCAGATTTATGTGTAGCTTTAGTTGGTGGAATGGATTCAGGCAAATCAACTTTAATTAGTGTATTAACCGATGGTGAATTGGATAATGCTCGCGGTAAAGCACGATTAAATCTATTTCGTCATTTACATGAAGTACAATCTGGTCGTACAAGTAGTTTAAGTCGTGAATTATTAGGTTTTGATGCAAATGGTAATGTTACTAATTATAAATATGCTGATGGTAGAGTTTATCGACGTTCAACAGAAGAAGTAAGTTGATTATAGTTGTATATAATGTAATTAAACACCAAAATATTTTGTAATTTCATCATTGTTTCTTCTTTTTTTTTGTTGATTGGCTGATTTATCCTATCAACTAATCAGAGTACACACCCACGATTTACTTTTTGATTAGTATCTAACCACATGATTATTTGAAATTTTTTAGAGAAAACTATGCAACACTTAGAAATAATTTCATCAGTTATTTCATTCAATTTTAATTAGTTTTCTCAAAGTTAACCGATGTAAACATTGTGAAAATTTTGTGCAAATAAACCTTCCATAAATATATACTACTCAAATGTCACTTTGTAAGTGGAGTTTGTTGAGATATCAGGCTCAGTTCATTGCAATCTGTTGTTTAAGTTTAGTTTTGTTCATTTATGGCTGTCTATTCTTGATATTTCTGTTTTTATCTTGTCATAGATATCCAGCTACAAATAATAGGCCACCGACTAGCATTCTCCAACCCACTATGTCCTCAGCCTTCGTTTTTTAGTTCTATCCAATTGTTCTTCATTCTTCGCATGTCTGTCTCCATTTCTTCGCGTAATGTGTTCTTTGATATTCCTCTCCTCCTTTGGCCTTGAGGATTCCAAGTGAGGGCGTACCTTGTGACGCAATTGAGTGCTTTCCTCAATGTGTGTCCTATCCAATTCCAGAGCTTATTCCTGATTTCTTCCTCCGTTGAGATCTGGTTTGTTCTCTCCCACAGTAGGTTGTTGCTCATAGTATCTGGCGAACAGATCTGATGTATTTTGCGTAAACAACTGTTAATAAACACTTGTGATTTCTGGATGATGACTTTCGTAGTTTTCCAGGTTTCCGTCCCATACAGTAGAAGTGTTTTGACATTTGTATTGAAAATTCTGAGTTAGTTGTTGGTTGAAAGTTGTTTTGAGTTCCAGATGTTCTTCAGTTGTAAATATGCTGCTCTTGCCTTGCCGATTCGAGCCTTCACATCTGCATCAGATCCATCCTGTTCATCAATGATGCTGCCCAGATATGTAAAGGTTTTTACATCTTCCAAATCTTCTCCGTCAAGTGTGATTCCATTCGTGTATGTTGTGTTGTATCGGAGAATCTTGCTTTTCCCTTTGTATAATTATGATCAATTTTTGTTTTATTAGCGTTATTGTATGAAGTTAGATTTTTGTATCTAGAGTATTTGATGCGCCGGGACAATCAAACATAGAGCAAATGATAAGTGAAAGACGCTGGGAGGCACGGTATTGGTCAAGATTTGGCTTCATTTTCTGAGGGAATAGACATGTGCTATTGATTGAAAATATGTCTTTATTTTATGAGGGATATGTAGCTACGTTTTTAATTGAGTTGTTCACACACTCTCGATTCAGTCGGTCTATAAACGCTCGCTCACTCTTGTTTCTTCACTCAAGTTGCTGGTTTGGATACCCATATAATAAGCATGTAAATCAGTATCAAACCTGGACATCTGTATAACATAACTCTGTCCAACTTTATTTCTCGTCAATTCGTTTACCAGTTATAGCTTTGTGTAATAAGCTTCGAGCCATACTTTAAGCGTGAGAACCATTGAAACTACTTGGCTATCTAAACTGAGGTAAGTGGGACGGAGTTCGAGCCTTAGCGGCTAAATCCCAAACATTACGAACACTGACCCCATTACTGTTGAAATCTTGGTTCGACTCGTGAACATTCTGCGGGTAAAGTAAACATAATAAACACTACACTATCAAACCCTTGGTGATAAATAACTTTGAGTGATACTTGCAACGATAAAAAGAGAGAGGAGGCTGCATAGTTTGAGTTGGCCTAGATTTGTTGAATATTGAAACTGTCAATTATTTCTCATTCAAGTAAACAAAACACAAACTTTTCATATCTTTTATTTTTTGTTCTCTTCTTAAGGTTGTTCGAATGTCATCCAATTTATTAACTTTACTTGATTTAGCTGGACATTCAAAATATCAACGTACAACATTAGCTGGTATTTCTTGTAATCAACCAATAATGGGCATTTTAGTAATATCTGCTACAATTGGTTTAAGTAGTATAGGATTAGATCATATACAATTAATACGTTCATTAAATTTACCAATGATCATTGTATTAACAAAAATTGATCAATTATCTCATGGAATTGAACAAATCAAACGTATTCATTTAATTTATCGTCAATTAATATATCAATTTAAACAAATTGATAATGCATGGTCATACGGTGTACCATCATCACCAATATCACAAACGAATACAGACTATTCATTTATAAATGATTGGAAATTGAATTCAGCTAGGTAATTCAATTGTAATATGTGCATTTTTTTTAAAAAGTTTGCATGTTTTTTTTGTTGGTGTTGTTGTTGTTGTTGTTAAAATGTTCCTTTGTACTTTAAACTGTCAAAAAAAGTATCTATAAAGTACATTTTTTTCGTTAGAAAAACCATTAAAAATTTTACAACAACAATAACCATCTTAAGCAAAGATGGATAGTGGCTAGCAATGGAATCCAGGACGCGCGTTTCGTCCTGTTTGGGACTCATCAGCTGGATGTATCTGCATCTCGGAGTTGTTGTTCACTCTGGGATTCGAACTCAGTACCGTTCGCTTCCACTGCTAGCCACTATCCATCTTTGCTTATAGTGCTTGTAAATTAAGGCAATATCGAGGTATACGCACAGTATGCACATATGCCAATAAGAGACTGATCAATTTCAGTCCCAAAACATCAATGGAAAGATTCAAGTAAAACAATAACAACTGAATTAAACAATAACCATCGTTTAATGAGAGGATTGTAAAGATTATTGAATTTGTAAGTAGTTTTACATTATGGACTGTATTTATTATGATAATCATCGAAGAATCCTATACTAGAATGAAACAACTGTCTAGTACTTCATGGGTTCAAATCCCGCGAGCGGGACCGTGGATACGCACTACTGAGGAGTCCCACAATAGGACGAAACGGCCGTCCAGTGCTTCCAGGTTTTCAATGGTAGTCTAACATCAATCGGTTCTTGATCTCAATCAATAACATAATAATCTCCACAACACTATGCTGATAATAACCATGTGCTCACTAGTGACTACATTCGTGAGGGAATTCTCGGAGTTCTAGGGAGAAGCCGTGACTAGTGGAGCTAATCCGTGTCGGGTAGAAACAGGTGTCTACCTCACTATAATAGAAGATAGTTGCGCAATTTTTTGGATTTGTTGACGTTAGACATTAACACTATTGGATGCCGGCTCAGTGGTCCAGTAGGTCAAGCGTTCGCGCGCCAGACTGAAGGCCCTGGGCTCGAATCCTGCCATTGGGACTGTGGGTGGGCATTGCTGAGAAGTCCCACAATAGGACGAAACGGCCGTCCAGTGTTTCCAGATTTTCAGTGGTGGTCTAACATCAATCAGTTCTTGATCTCAATCAATGAATTTCAATAGTTGTCTCGCTTAAAATCAATTTATGATGTAAAACTACAATGTAAAGTGGCTAACTGGATCACAAGCTTACATCTCTTCCTCTCTTTCCATTTAAATTCAACTCAAACTACCATCAAACGTTGTACGTAACATTTCTTGTTTCAAGGCATTTACACAAACTCCATAATCCATTATTTAGTTACATTAACTTAACCTTTAAAAAAAATCTTAGCAATTCACGTTTTCGTACCTAGTAAATTAATATATCCTTAAGTAAGAATAAAACAACTGTTCAATGTTTCATAGTTTTTAGTAATTTTCGAATTAATATATCAGCTCATGATGATGAAAATTACTACAAACTAAACAATCTGTACAGTGTCTTTTGTTTACCTGATAATTGTTTACTCACTTGTAGGTTGCTAGTATTTGATCATATATGTCTTCATAGTATTGCTCGCGTATTTCAGGACTATTCAATGACTAATGCTGAAACTAGACTCGGTGTTCTTAGCAAAAATAACAAGTCGGTTAATGAAGTAATGAATCTTTATTGATTGAAGTGGTTGGGATATAGATTATGTAATTCATCCTCTACCTACCTCAATCCTCGATGTTGACTGGTGTAGGAATCATTCAGTCATATGTAACATAAAACCTGACGGTTATATGCGTTGGCTCAAGTTTTCACATTATTGGAAGTAATAGCAATATCAGAAGTAGTAGAAAATATTAGGCATAGGCAATATGATCCAAGAAGAAAGAATAAGTTGACTGGATAAAAAACTTAACATAATTTTTCGAATCAAGATCTAAGAGAAGACAGAAAGCGAATACATCTGCTCCAACCATTGATTACAATAATGGTATAGAATTAGATTAGAATAAAGCTAAGAGTGAACAAATTGAGGTATAAAATCAATACATGAATTCATTGACTATTGGATAGTAGGTGCACACTACTTGGTCGTGGTCATTCCATAAATCCGCTCTTTCTTCTCAATTCATATTCTCTATCTTTAGTTGTTTTTTTTTTACTTTCACAAATACAACAACAGACAGCTATGTAGAATAATAATTCATTCATTAAATATATACATTTTCATATTTCTTTTTCTTTGACCTTTCTTTCTCTCATTATATTATAATTTTGATTTTATCCAAATAAACAAAAGCTGATTGTCACATGTATCAAAGAAAAGATCATTTGTTGTTGTTGTTTTCTTCTTCAAAATGACGTGATCTATCAAACGGAATATTTGATCGTGTTTCCTTTATATTCAAAGAAATTTATTGAAATGTGAATAAATTCTCTCTCTGTTTCTTTCTCATTATATAAATCATTTGTTTATGATGGTACATCAGTCAAAACCACTAACATATATTTACATCTATGTCTTACTCTAATTGCATACTACTATTTATAGTGTTGAATAACAAAATGGTTTAAGTTGTATTAAAAAGCTAAAAAGAATCAAATAAAGAAATGGTATGACTTTTTGAAGTGATTAGTTGTTAAACTGAACCATCTTGTTGATGGCGAAACTCTGGAAGATGTAGAATCCTTCACATACCTGGGAAGCATCATCGATGAACAAGGAGGTTCAAATGCAGACGTAAAGGCAAGGATTGGCAAAGCAAGGGCCGCATTCCTACAATTGAAGAACATATGGAACTCAAAACAACTTTCAACCAATATCAAAGTGAGAATCTTCAATACGAACGTCAAGGCAGTTCTACTGTATGGAGCTGAAACTTGGAGAACTACAACAACCAACATCAAGAATTTGCAAGTATTTATAAATAGCTGTCTACGCAAGATACTCAACATCCATTGGCCGGATACCATCAGCAACAGCCTTTTGTAGGAGAGAACAAACCAGCTTCTAGTTGAAGAGGAAATTAGGAAAAGACGATAGAAATGGATAGGACATACGATACGCAAATCATCAAACTGCGTCATAAGGCAAGCCCTGACTTGGAATCCTGAAGGGAAACGGAAAAGAGGAAGGCCAAAGAACACATTACGTCGGGAATTAGAAGCAAGTATGAAAAGGATAAATAACAACTGTAAAGAGCTGGAAAGGATTGCCCAGGACAGGGTTGGATGGCGAATGCTGGTGAGCGGCCTATGCTCCTCGACGAGGAGTAACAGGCATAAGTAAGTAAGTGAACCATCTCGTTAGATGTCTAGTCTTTCAAATGTCGATTTACACAATGGTCTCGTAATCAATAGTTGAAGAGAGACATTAGATGAAAATGACCCGAAATTAACTGGTGTATCATAGTAGTCGCATATAATGTAATATTGGAACGATTGTTTGTATTAACAAAATTATAATCTTCTAATATTTCAGTGCATAGAATGTTGAATTTTGGATGTTCGGCTGCTTAGTGTAGGCTGATTTCACGGAGGAGAAATAGTCGAAAGTAGCGTTATTTGTTCTCTAAAGAAGTGACTTACACCATATCACGAAACGTCAGAAATTCATCTTTATTACACATTTAGATATTTACAAATATATTATTTTCATTGTTTAATCGCGAACAGATCTTAGCTAGATCACCATTGAAAACATGGAAGCACTACACGACCTTTTCGTCCAAATATAGGACTCCTTAGTAGTGTACACGCACAGTCCTGTACGCTGGAATGCGACTTAAGATCTTCGGTCTCTCTCGCAAAAACAACCTCCAAACATCTGTGGTACAGTTAGGTGTTCATATGCGAGACCGAAGGTGTTGAGTCCGATTGCAGAGTACAAGGTCATGGTTATACATTGTTGAAGAGTCCCATATTTGTACGAAATGGCCGTTCAGTGCTTCCAAGTTTCCAACAGTGGTCTAACATCAATCAGTTCATGATCTCAATCAAAAACTTAGTAATCTTCACAACCCTTATACTGGTAATAAAAATGTATTATTATCATTCTTATTAAATTCCTTCATTGTTAACTTTTCTTTCCTTGAAATTTTTATCTTTGATAGAGGGGATTTCAATGATGATTATTTTATGCCACCATTTTTTCCTGTTTCATCTGTCACTGGTCAAGGTATTGATAACTTAATGCATTTTTTAAGTCGTCTAAGTTGTTTAAATCAATCACCAATGCCAACGTTATCCATGTCACCATCATCAACAACGACAACAATCCATCCATTTGAATCTTCTGATCATCGAAATCCAGATCATCATCCTCATCAACAACAACAACAATCTTTAGAATTCAATAAATTTTCCAATGAAACTCATATTCAATTCATATTTAATAAAATAAATGAACAAATGAAAATTATTAAAACTTATCGTGATTTTAATGGTACATTATTTTGGATTAATCAAGTATTTACACAAATACCAGGGTTTCTAATCCAGTTATAGTTGGACGTGTACAACTTGGTCAATTATTAAATAATCAAATATTATGGCTTGGACCAGATCAAGTAAAATTTTATATTCATTATTATTCATAATTATTGAATGAGATACAACATTTTACTTTAGAGATTAGTCTATGTTATTCTTCAGATTGTGATCATAAAGATTAAAGTAGTTGAATGGTTCTTGGAAGTCTCATTAGTTCTGGTGGCCACCTATAGCATAGGCAAGATATTTGTCTATTAGTCAAGGGATAAGTATACTACTCAACAGTTTGTCATGTTCTGCTCTATGCTTGTGAAGTATGATCTTTAAAAATAGATGATATCCGTAAATTTAGCAGTATTTGATAACAGGATACCTTTGAATTATCAGTCGTGTATATTGGGACTACGCATTGATTGGTGCTGAAATTAAATTCAAGGTAACAAATAAGACTATCAAATTGGTTGATAAAATAATACTGTGAGTTTTAATCGACTGAATAAACTGGAGAATGTGTTACTTATGTCCGATCACTGCCCATCTCGACAGGCGATATTGACTGGAGTATCTGTAGGTTGGAAGAAAGGTAAAGAAGTCAAAACTAAAGCGTATCATCAGTCCATGAAATCATTGGACGTTGGTGTTGTAACTTGTGCCCTGTGTCCTTATTAATGTATAACGTGATGATACCACCAATTAGAGAACAGTGAATTGTCGACAGGATCAATGACTTACCAAACCTGTACGAGCAGTGTAGAGTCCTTAGCGATCCTACTTCCCGCCTAGCCCTGCCTGTTAAGTTCAGAACACCAATCTCATCCTCTGTGATATGAACCATTTATTTCAAACGAACTGGGTTTATATACCAACCAGACAGATCACATTGCACCATAAAATAGAAACTGACATTTGTACAAGATTTAGCCCAAAATGGCTGTGATTGTGGGAGATAGTAATTGATAGACTGGGCATAACTCGAGAATGGTAAATGGTATAAAATAGTCTATAAGTCAAGATAAAGCTTATGATAAGAGGAACACGAATATGCATAGTTTAGTTACTTAACAATTATACGATAAAAATATACGTATAGTATTACTCTAGAAATAGATTACAACAGTTACCATTCATTATTCTCATCGGGATATAACAGTCGGTCTGAGCCATGTTAGTTTAATGCCAACTCAATAATTGCCACCCATAGTTGGATACGTTGGTTGAGATGACTCAGATTCATTCACTGTTTGTCTTCCTTTATGTCCAGAATTCCAAAACTATTTTATTTTTTCTTCTCGAATGATATCTTCTATACTTAATCACTTTTGTGATCACTGACACTATTTCTCTAGTACTCATCTTAATAATTTCATCTCTCTTTGTTGATTTAGTGGGTTAACTTGAACCAATTCACATATGTACCAGGTTTTACGTTGCTTATGACTGACAAACAAGGCTTTTTACTTTATCTTCTTGACGTAAAATTGTCCCCTTCTGTTTCTTTTTTTTGTAGTTTGGTGATTTCTATCCAGTTCAAATTGTTAGTTTAATGCATAATCGTCAAGTACATGATATTGTATACGCTGGACAATCAGCATCAATGGAGGTATATTTTTTACCAAAATCATGGAATAGTATGAATGATAAACAACGTCAAAGCATCTTACATAGTATATCATCACCCACTTCACTTTCAATAACATCATCTTACAGAACAATGAATGATCATAAAAAGTCATTTTCATTATTCGGTAATAATAATGACAATATTTGTAATGATGTTGATGATAACTGTACTGGGAATGAAGAGAATATTCCACATAATAATAAGAAGAAGAATAATGTCAACAGTCTATCGTCATCATCGTCAGATATTTATCAATTTTATTCACCAATAAAAATACGTCGTGGAATGATTCTTCTCACTTATCCAATGTTATTAACTGCATATTCATTGTTTAAAACATCATCACCGGGATTATTACCATGTACCATCGATTCTTCCCCGCTATCATCATCACCATCTGAATTTATTTGGAATGAACAATTAAAATCTAAACATTGTATTAAATTCACCGTAGTATGGACAGTTAAATTGAAACTAATTCGTCGTCTACCTATAGTATCTTTTAAATTAGGCAATCCACCGGTAATTTTAACGCCAATTCCATCAATTGGACAACGTGTAAGTATTTATGCTGGATGTGTTTGTCAAACTGGTGTTGTACTAGAAACGATAAATCAATGTAAACATGAAAAAGAAATGCAACAGAACAACTTGAAAGATTATATGGTGAATAATGAGGTTTGTAAATGATTATTCCGATTGATAAATCATTTCTTTTTTTGTTCAAGATAGATAACAAAGAACTTTAACTGGCTGATACTTATCTATTTACTTACGCCTGTTAACCCCCGTAGCGGAGCATAGGTGTCCCACCAGGATTCCCTATCGAACTCTGTCCTGGTTGATAGGCGGATGCTTAAAATATTGAGTTCCACATAGGCTAACAGACGTAACACTTTACTTACTTACGCCTGTTACTCCTCGTCGAGGAGCATAGGCTGCTGACCAGCATTCTTCATCCAACCCTGTCCTGGGCAATCCTTTCCAGCTCTTTACAGTCGTTATTCATCCTTTTCATATCTGTTTCTATTTCCCGATGTAATGTGTTCTTTGGCCTTCCGCTTTTCCGCTTTTATTAAGGATTCCAAGTTAGAGCTTGCCTCGTGATGCAGTTTGGTGATTTCCGTAATGTATGTCCTATCCATTTCTATCGTCTTTTCCTAATTTCTTCTTCAACTGGAAGCTGGTTTGTTCTCTCTCACAGTAGGCTGAGACGTAACATCATTAGATTATAAAATCAATGACCGTTGAACTCATCTGTATTGGTAAATATATACTATCTGCTTGGAAGGAGTTTGCACCATCAGTGGTTGTTTAGACGTTGAATGACATAATCCAGAGTCAGTAGCATTGACACAGTAGTTATCACTCTTTATCTTCCTCTGCATATTGAGTTTTGTTAATCCTCTATACACATCTTCTTTTCGATCTGTATCCTTCAGTGTTCATTCTTTTTATTATAATTGATTGTGATATTATTTCGACTACCTTGCTACTGATTGATCACTGAGTAGTGACCAATTTCATGTATGTTAACTTCGTAGTGCTGATTGAATTTTACCGATCGTGTTGCTATGTGGTCACTAGTCTAAGTAACTCGAGATCGCGCGCGCTATGCTGAGATGTAAGGTTGTGTTTTGAGGTAGTGGACAGAAAACCCTGGAGCTAAGTTTTGTGCTATTTGAAGCTCGGCAACAATGTGTACCTGTAATCTTGAGGGAACTGATGTTCCTTGGCAGATCCGATCCTATGTAACCCACCTTTGTTATCAGTGAGCTATTCATGCCGCAATTGACCTCCGGTGAAATTAAAATGCAAATAAAACCCTAGATACAGGGTTTCATGTCCAACCGCTAACTTTGCTACTCACTCTGTTAACTTCATCTCATCGCGCTAATGTGTGATATGGTATTTTGAGTTCATGCGAAATCTATACCATGTTAATTATTGTTTTGGAAATCTACTACGATACACGATACAATGCGTTTCCTTACTAAAACCATAAGTAGTACACCAAACGATAGATAAAGTTCAGTAATACGTTGTGGCCAATGGATAACTCTTCATGAGACAATTATTCACACAAACCTTTTTGATAAACTGAATTCCAAAAGATAATATGCTTGGTCAACAAACAAGGTTTTTTCTATTCACTCACTGCACAATAAAAAACGTGATTAATAATAAATATATTTTTTAATATCCCGATGAGTAGAAAAATTATATTTCTGAAATTTTGTGAGCTTATTTATTTATTTAGACACATAAACATAGGTACAAAAAGGCACCAAATAGATATGCGCCACATAAATCATTCGATTTGTGTGAGGGCTGAGATACTGTCTGGGTGCTCGAACCGAAACAAGTGGTGGTGGTTTTCTCAGGGGGGCATACCCTGAGCCTTTGACCTAAAGATCTGGTCCACAAGGCAGTGGAGCAACGTCAGAAGATGCAGACCCATGGTGGCCGGTGACCAACGGTTGATTCATGCGCCATTTGTTCCTTCAGGATACTGGAGCCCATGTACACTATTGGTTTGGAATCAGGGTTTTCCAACTAACTTCCCTACATGGGTCCTTCATATCCACGAACCCGGTTAAAGTGCCGGACATTCACTTTTCATCCTCTCAATTTCGTAAACAATACCCCCATCACGAGAGGGTAGTGAGCAGGACTTCCTTAACAGTGGTTGTATGCACGTGACCATGTGAGAGAATTTCGAGAGAGGAGAGAGAGCTGACTCTCCCCACCCTCGGCCATACCAGGGCATTTGGGGGCAATGTAAGTCATTTATTTGCTCTGAAGAAGTGGTTCATGCTAAGTCACGAAATGTCAGAAATACAATTTTTCTACTCGTTGGTATATATATATATATATCGTTAACCTTCTACCCAATGCTCAATTTATTTGGAACTATCAAGTCCAACCTTGGCATTACTACCTACAAAACAAACGTGATTATATGTTATTTAATAAAACATACAATTGAATGAGCTTTGTCATGGGATCCACTTTCGCGGTGGAATTATCGTCTAACTATCAGGCATAATTCCTGCCAATAATTTCAACTTAATAAATGTGTTGCAGAAGGGAAGAAAATGAAATCATAATTAATCTATAACAGTAGCTTTGTCTTCTTATTTTATATAACAGCTGATACTACTTGTGATATACTTCTACTACTACTACTACTACCAATACTCTTACGCCTACCTATATAACCCCAATCATATGATTGTAACAGATGACGGAGAAATATGCTGTTGTTGTTGTTCTTATAGACACATTTAAACTTACTATGCAAATTAACTTTTATACTGAAATAGAAACACTCCATTCTTTATATCAGTTAGTCAAGTTGATCTCATGTATTTTTTCAAGGTATAAGGATATAGTTGCCACTTTTCGGTTGCCCACACCATGAAAGAGTAATTCTTCTTGATAAACGTGACAATGAACTTGGGTTTGAAGTGATCCCCACTACCTGATATACGGATCACAGTGTTCAAGGGACAACTGTCTCAGTCCGACTTTATTTCGAGTAGTTTTAATGTGTTGTCTCCATACTTTTCAACTCTTACCTCACGATACAGAAACCTATGGAGCAAAACGAGGTGCACTACGTTTGGAGTCGACCTTTTTGAATAACTTTCTTCTGCTGTGCTAAGACATCGTCTCCAGAGATATCGGTTGTCTGAAATAAACTCCTTACTATCCCCTCACCCTTGCACAATTGGCAGTGCTACTTCACCCTTAGACCCTAAGTTTACTAATTTTAGTCCTACTGCTCTCCAAATGACCTGATTGGCATAATCGGATATAAAAAAACGAGTGTTCTAGATAATATGTCTCGATCTTATCGTCATAATATTCAACCCTGACCATCACGTCATGCTGTAACAGCCATGGCCAGGTCATATATATATTTCTTGTGTAATAACTAGTTGTCTATTTATGAAATTACTCCTAATTTCTAGAAACACTACTTTTGTCATTATGAATGATTTTTGACTGAAAAAGAGAGAAACTGTAATTCTTTTGAGAAATGAACTAACTGATTATTTGTTTTTTTTTCATTTTATTCACTGTTATATTCAAGCAGAGTACTCAATGCATAGATCAGATCGTCGTATTTCATGTGTTACCCGTTGAATAGGAGTTCTTTTAATTTTTAAGACTAAATATTTGAAAATAGCATAAAATTCCTGGATTAAGTTGGTTGTCTCAAACGTGTTCAGTCTGTTGCGTAAATAGGATTTACGTTTCCAATTGCAGTCTTAAACCACAATGGGAAAATACAAGTAAAACAATACTAAGTGAATTTAAATTCACCCCATTGCACAAGCAAGTGGTTATCAGGACTCAGTAACTGAGTGGATAACGTGATGGTGTTTGGAGCGAATGGTACCGGGTTCGAGTCACAGAGTGAACATTAACTCAGATGCAGGTACATCCAGCTGACGAGTCCTAAATTGGACGAAACGCGTCAAACTGGATTCCACTACTATCCACTATCCATCTTTGCTTAGGAAAAGATTGTGAATTCAGGCAATATCGAGGCGCACGCACAATATGCACATATGCCAATAACAGACTGAAATACATTTTATGACTGATCATCGTTATATACTACTTATGTGGATATAAGTAGCTCACACCACAGTATGTCACCCACCTACATTTTAACTAAATCGGTTATTACTCATCATTTGAATTGTTCAATTGTTAAGTATTTAGTTTATTCTATGAAAAATAATTATTTATTTTGCCATTTGTTTGTTTGTTTCTCAGAATCATTTAGATGATACAACGTACATTTTACTACGTTTTACACGTCATCCAGAATTAATTGAAATTGGTCGACAATTTATATTAACATGGAATGGAAATTTAAAAACAATCGGTTATGCTGTTGAATTAATTGATCCATTAAAACATCATTATAACCTTTCATTGAATACTCTTTCTAATAATAATACAACAACTAGTACTAGTACTACCAATGTTCAAGATCCTATTTGTTGGAATAATAATATTCAACAAAATTCTGTATCATTTCAAGAGAATGATCATTATGATTGGTCTAGTCTACGACAGTCATTTATTAATCGAACAATTTCAATGAATAATTATCCATTTGGATCTATAGATAATTTACATACATCATCTAACTTATTATTATTATCTTCATCATTACCATCAACAAATATGGAATTTTATGGTCATTTAACAAATAATGAATCATGTAAGAGGTCAGCAACAACAACAACATCATCAAACTCTTTAATTCCTGTAAATCATTTAACAAGTTTATCAGAATTAGTACAAAATCATGATATTGATATTGATGATAACATTAATGATAATAGTAATAATAATAATAATTCAACAGATATTGATCATTCTACACAGTCTATAATTGATATCAATAATGTTAAACAGTTTTCTGAATCATCAATATCCTCATCGGGAGGAGTCGTCACAACATTCACACCATCATCATCATCATCTAAGAATAATAAACGACGTCATAGACGAAAACAGAAACGTTAATTCTTTCTAGATCCTCTTTAATTTATCTCTGTTTTCTTTTAACAATTTCATGATTTATTTATTTATAGCTGGTTAATTAATCAGTTAGTTACTTAGTTCAGTTTACTATGATTATGCTGTTGTCTAGCCTACTATAATAATAATCATAATTTCTTATGAATATTGAACAAGGCAATTATTGTTGTTAAAATTGATCATGTTGTACATGTAAATGGGTTGTTGTTGTTTTTTTAAAAATTATTTTCACATTATACATAAAATAGTTGATCGTTCATTATTATCATTAACCTTCAGTTAATTTATGTATACATATTTCCTTTTTTCTAGTAATATATGAATGTAATTCAATCCCTATGTCCCTTTTGTGTGTGTGTGTGTGTTTGTAACTAGAATGGTGATGGTGTTTCATCGTAACGATCTATCGACCAATCTATACATCATTACATATGATGTAATTTGGTCTGTTTTTTATTTTGTGTGCGTTTTCTTTTTTTTTCAATCTACTCTTACACTTAATAGTGATTACATGTTCAAAATAAAATTGATCTATACTTACTACTACTAGTTACTAGGGTGGGGGTCTCTTCCCCATTTTCTGTTACTTTGTTATCTTCTAAAAACAATCAACTAATAGAATTATTATTCAGATAAACCTTCAATTATGATGATATAAGTAGTGTTGTTGTTTTTTCTTCATTTCTCATCTGACTTTATTGCATGAATACTGGATGATGTATATGTATGTATGTATGTATGTTTGTATGTGCGTTTTTCTTCTTACAATCAAACAAAATGAGTCAAATTCACTAAGGAAAATAGTTAATGACTTAGCTAGTCAGTATATTTAGACTTACTTATTCCTATTACCCCCAAATCGACCATGGGCCCACCGACCAGTATATTGAAACTATTCCCTATCAAGTAGTTGTGCACTTATTTATTATTGTACATTATTAGATTCTTTCTTTCTTTCCCCAAGTCTACCATAACTTTCATTGTAAAATTTTATTATTTAATATCATATTGTTATCCTTATTATTATGAGTGAAATTTTGTTTATTTTTTTTTCTTTGTTTTATTATATAAATATAAAAAATAAACAAATAAATTGACTTATTCATTTGATGGATTGACCATGTGTTGTGGATTATTCATTGATATTTATGTACGAATGTATTAATTTACAAGAAGAAAAAAAATTTTGGGGGGGGGTTGTTTGTTGATCTGTCTGTTTGTTTTCTCTTGTTCTTAACTGATCCTGTCGTTATATTTATCAATCAATCTATAATGACTATTGTTATGTTTGTCTAGTTGTTGTTGCTTCTATCTGCTAGGATTACCGAGGGGTAAGTAATAGTGAGGTTAGATACAGGGTATTAGGGAATGATGGTAAATCAGTTGATCAAGTTGTGAATCTTCATCGACTAAGGTGGTTGAAACACGTGTTACTTTTACCTGAACACCGACTACCACGACGTGCAATGTAGAGTAGTGTTGGAGACGGTTGGAAGAAAGTTAGGGATGGCCAAGATAAAACGTGGAACCAGTCCTTAAAGTTACTAACTTTTAGTGTGAGCCATGTTGGAAGATGCAGACTACTTGGTTGGGATCCGCGTGACTATCGCAACCAATGGTTGGAGACTCTTGGTGACATGGCTCAGAATAGATCACAATGGCTTGAGCGTGTGTACACTTTCTGTCTTTCCTTAAACTAAGAGATTATAAAATCGCTTCATATCTTTCTTTCTACGAACGTAATCTTTCTTCCTGCACTATATCCTTATATGCAATGTTTCTTTTACCTATTACCACAACTGAATTAACTACTTCTATGAATTCTGTGTTCATCTTGTTGTGCTAATGCGATATGGCAACTTGGACCGATGCATATATGTGCTTGATCCTACGTTGTAACTGACTGACTAGTTGTTTAAAGATCCCCGTCATATTAGTTGTTGTTTATTGCTCATTCTGACATTCCTAAGGTTTAAGTATAGTATATGAATTCCCAGTAGTGATTCTAAAAATAACCACCACCAATTTCCGTTTGTTGTTGATTAACCAGCTACAAAACGATTATTGTAGATTAGTAGTTTTTTTTGGAAAAATAATGTTATAAAGGTTACACACGTTTTACGTAATTATTTTTAACAATATCGGAGTTTTTTATAGGTCCCTCTGTCGCTTTGTTCAAACGACAAAATTATGTAAATGCAGATATATGGCTATAATACATCCATCTTTTTGAACGTGTTTAAAAATGCAAGTTGTTTCGATTCGCATGGTTTGGCTTGATTTACATGAAAATAGTCTGAGCGACCAATTTTCTTCAGAATTTTAAATGTTTTAAACACTATACAGAGGTGGTGCTACTCGTTCCGAGTTATGCAATAAAAGTTATTCATTTTTGGATTTCGCCTAAGTTTTCTCGGTGTCGATTGCCACTTTCTTGATCAAACCGTTCTCGATATGTTTGCACTTAGAGTTTTGACTACTGAAATGTATTAAAGTAGTTAAACTTATATTTCTAAAATGACGGTGACCACGAAATTCTATTGTCTACTAAAGATTGTTTAAGGTCAATCATGTACTTGCAAATGTTCGTTATATTTGCGTGTAGTTTGTGCAATTTAGGACTTCATATTATTTCTGTAATCCAGTTGGTGAAGTTAGAAATGGTGTCAATGTTTATGTAATGCTTCAATATCTGCAGTTAGAAATCCTAGAAGAGAGCTAAACATGGAAATATTTTTTCTAACTTTAAAGAAATTGAAATAGTCGTCAGTCTTTGTAGTTAGTTTAAAAAAGACTTCATCCTCAATTAAGTGAATTGTTTCCATAAGGTTCATCAAGAAAACAATATGTGAGTGTGTACTATCTGGCTGAAATCAGTCGTCAAGAAGTACTGGACCTATATGTCGTATTAGAAGGTACTTGTCACCGTAGAGTATCTACAGTTTAAGAGGCATTTAGTTGCTCATCATTCAAACTTTACGAACCTCGAAATATAACTTATCCGAGTTTTGCTAACTCCATCAAAAGGAAATTACGTCTTTTAATTAATTGGGTTACAATTAAATCACAATGAATGCTATTATTTAAAGGAAAATATACTACTGTATTATGTAAGTAATGTCTGCGGATCATGGATGTGTACTACCGAGGAGTCTTATACTAGGACGAAACAACAGTTTTCCAGGTTTTCAATGGTGGTCTAACCTTGATCGATTCATGAATTTGATCAAAAATGATATCTATTCTATGGACATGAATATAAAACCTAAACTGCCTAAAGCACAAATAACATCGGTTGAAAAGAAAACACTTCACACGAAAATTGATTTTAGGGGTGACGAAGTTACAGATTTCCTAAAGAGAAGAATTTTCAATCCTCTAAAAAGGACGTTCTTCGCAACACCTTTTCCAACCGATCAATAATCTTAAGGATAAATTATCTTATCTGACCAACTCTATGTTTATTTATCAATTACCTGCTGATATGAAGCCAGGTCGTTAGATGCGTACTTTATTTAAAAGAATTCAAGAACATAGCCTAGCGTGGCTAAAAAGAAGCGGAAACGGCTCACTAATCGAATATCTTGTGAACACAAGTCATTCAATCAAAGAGGATTCTATGTTCAAAGTCATTCACAAGGTCAGTAGAATGCTTCCAAAGGTAGTTATATTGTACCTTCTTTAAATTGCCGAAGCAATAACTATGCATCTGGATAAACCCATATTGTATCCAGAAGAAATCAGTACAACCTCTTCTTCTATCATGGCGTTAATCTTTCGTAATTTTCTTTCCTCTTCATAATTTTCTACCTTCATAGCCATCTGCTTCCCTTCTATCTTCTCTATAGACCTTTTACCTTCAACTGGTTTTTTCTTCTGTTTCTCTAGTCTTCCTGACTATAGTTCATTTCAATTTCAACATTTTATCTTACCATGCTGAGTTTTCCTTTCCCAATCATAATTTCCCTATCTATCTTTATGATGTATATTCAATCCCTCAATAATAAAACTATTATAAGTTTCCCTGATAAAAATGACATTCCAATACCTTTGCCTATTCTACCCCACTGTTAACATGTTTATCAAAATCCCTATTATCGCTAATATTGTAATTATTATCATCGTTATGAATAAGTAATTATATTTACGATTGTACAGTGTTGAAAATGTATTTGCCGAAAAGAGAACTCTTCACTGAATCAATCTTTCTTATTTTATATCTCAATAGGTATATTCCGTTTATCTATCGTTTCATCGATGAACTTGTAGTGGAACCTTATAGAAATAAGAAACAAAGCAACAACAAAAAAGACAATGATCCGATATATTCCATTTGATATTGATGCTGTAGTGAACGAGAACACAAGTGGGGACAATCGAATGTAATTGAATACAAAATTACAGAATCACTTAGTAAAATCTGAGATCTATATAGTGAATACTTCATTTGCAATATGTCAATCAATCATCTTAGACTTCGCTGTTCCTTCATTTCCACATCAATCATTCTCTGTTCTCGTTCTCTTTCCTTTCATCTTTTTAATCTTCTGCCACCAGGTATTTCACTTTCGATTGATGATACATACTACTTATATCTGTCAATATCAGTAGCACACACCACAATAAATATTAATTAACATTGATAAATATCCGGTCATCATTATAGTAGTAGAAGAAGGTAGAATTCACAAGTGATAATTATAGTAAGGATAATGAAAATCTGTGAGTAAAGCAGATTGATTAGGATTGGATAACCGCCCCCCCCCCAGGCTAAATCTACACGGCAACTTGGACACGAAAGAAAAGGTGTAAAATATGAAAAGAACACTTTACTGCATTGTTAGTTTATGTACAAAAAATCTAGGGTATTTATAGCATTTTAGATGGCTTTGGGCTTCTGAAAAGTTCTGGGACCCTTCTAAACAATATACTTACTCAGTTTAAATATTTTTTCTGGTTAGCGTTTTTATAGCGGACTAGTTTTCTACGAGATGGGGTTGCTAACCCCATGCTCAACCCTCCTCCTTTATCCGGGCTTGAGATCGGCATTGGCCCCCGGAGGGGCTCCAGACGGAGTTTCTACACATTGCAGTGTGATAGATAATTATCACATCAGAAATGTGACATGTGACTTTTCACTTTCTAGATATTTCTCGTCAACTTCTATTAAACGCTGATAGGATGAGATATTTTCTCTGAGTTTCCAGGGCCCCTTTATGCTTTTTTTTCGAGGAGTTTTCTGGATCTCCCCAACAGTACATAAACATTAAAATTTACTACTTGTGTTACTCTGTATTCTTGGATTTTACGTATAAAATCATACGAGTTTTTAAGTTTCAAAGTACAGAATAATAAACGATACTTGTCTGGTATTCTTGATGCTCTGACCAGTAGGTTGGAAACAATTGAGAATGGTTTGTATGTTATCAAACGTTTAGCATTTACCATTACTGTATTAAAGGATTCAGAAGTTTACCAAGCTTTCTTACTAGATACAAGTGTCAGCTTGATAAAAATCTACGGCAACAAGCTTTGCAAAATAAGTAGGTTTCAAAAAAAAACATGCTCAGAAATCCTTGTGAAAGCTATTTTTTGAGTCCTACCTGTATACCTTTGTCGATGAATGCACAGAAGTCCGTAAATTTAACTGTAGGCAATAACAAAAGTTTAATACTCTGCTTTTAATTTCTTCAATAAGCATTAAATATTTTATGCTGAAACCTGTTTAACTGTAGATAATCTAATTTTCAATGATTTCCAATTTCTTCAGTCAGTTTTAAAGAATTTTTGACCAAGCACTTCATCCATGTGGTAAGATTTGAAAGAAAAAAAAACATCTTAGTTTAAGAATTGGATTAGCGCTGTAGTTAGTTTAAATCCGGGAGTTTGAAAACCCTCATTCCAAACCAATGGTTCACATGGGCTTCAGGATCCTAAGGGAACAAATAGCGTATGAACCAATTATTGGTCACCGGCTACCATAGTGTTACATCTCATGACGTTGCTCTACTGCTTTGTAGATCAGACCTTTAGATCAAAAGCTCAGGGTGTGGGATCCTAAGAAAACCACCTGCTTTGGTTTGGGCACCCGAA